CCTAGCCAGTTTCTGAAGCTGAGCCACGGGATCCTTATGATATCGCAGCACGTTAGTCAAATCGCACAGGCAGTCTGCAGGAGTCCACCGATTTCCGTGCACACATACCCATTCAGTCTGCGCCGGCACGCCCTCCGCGGCCGGCAGCAGCTGGTCATCCTCATTGTCGAAACCGATGCCGGGGCCACCACCCCAGAACTTCGGTCGACGGATGGGTGCCGGAGTAACTGGCAGACTAGGACGCTCATCTTCGCTAGGGAAGTCGGTGAGCTTGCTTCCTCGCCGACGCCAGGCAATCTCATCGGCCCCTTCGGCAAGGTCACCCAATCCTAGCACACCGGGAGATTTGAGGCTCCGCGTACGCCGATGTTTTTGTATCTTGTCCACGTAACGCTCGATCTCAGGTACATCGTCCCATGCATTAGTCAATGTGAACGAGGTCCAAGGATCTGACGGTGTGATGCGGATAGTTGGCGTGGTCGGCGTGTCTGGCTCGCTCTTTGGTTCGACCGTGGACGCATCCGTAACAACAGAAGACTCAGTCGACGGTTCAGGCGCGGGATCAGACCACGAAACACCCGTAGGCGTTTCCGATTCGCCGACTGGAGGCTCGTGTTGTCGATATACGTCGTCAGGAAAGATGCGAGACGGTGGTGACCGGCTTTCTTCCCAAGGGAAGATAGGCTTGGGGGGCTTTGAAGGAGGCGCTGGTGGTTCCTTGGGAACTTCATACCACATATTCTTTGGAGGGCTAGGATATCGTTCAGGTGCGACGAACGGGGTAGATTCTTGGGACATCTCGTATACGATGGACGGGAAGTTCATGGCTTCCGGTTTCGAGTCGGAGGGAGGAGAGGCTCTGTTCCCAGGTTAGTTTTCATGTCTTCAAGAACAGCACAGGATAAAGAACTAACCGTTGAGCATCCCAGCTTGACATGGTAGGCTGGAATGGTGGTGGCTTCTGCTCTGGCTCTTCCCGGTGAGGGTGAGCCCCATAGTGGGGCTCCGAAACCTGCTCTTCTCGAGCCTCAGCGTGGGTTCCCTCAAGGTGGGTATGAGAAGACAAAGCTGCAGAGGGAGTGGAGGGCTCAAGCTGAGGGGCGGTAGCTCCGGGTTGAGCGGCTACGTGACCATGATATTGATGGTGCGCATGGTGCTGGTGGTCATGATGATCATGGTGGCCGTGATCGACATGATGGTGGTACTCATGCGTTCCATGTTGCGGAGCATTTTGGGAGGGAGATTGTTCATGATACTCATGTTCATAGGAATGCGCATCCGGAGGCGTATGCTGGGAATGCTGCTGGTGATCTTGGTGATCACCTCTATAGAGCTCACCAGTTGTTTGGACGTGCGTAGCCTTAGGCTGATATTCCCCCTTTGTGAAATATCGGACCAGCTCAGACGCTGGTTGGGGAGCTGCAGCTGTACTGGTTGTATGAGTAGGACCGCGGGACGAAGACGGCGCAGGAGTCGAAGTCTAAACATGGTAAGCTAAATGCCCAAGATTCCTTAGAACAACAGCAAGGAACCACTCACAGGCACTCGATAGTGTTTGTCGTATACGTTCCACCACTTGCCAATCATCTCGTCATAGGGTGAACCACCGCTGCTGGAGGGTCTCCCCTTGAACCATGGCTTCTCGGGGCCAATGAAATGAACCATATTGATGCCCGATCGGAAATGGCGGTAGGCCGGAACATACTGGTAGTGCCCAGAGGGTGTGACATTATAAGTGAAGCTAATGCGATTATAATTGTTCTTGAAGTGCATGTTAATAAGACCTTGGTCGGCGCCGTCGAACGAGACGTTGTTCTCGGCCATCGCTACCATGGCATAGTAATCACCCAAATTAGGGGTTAACACCATGACGCCCGTGTTAAAGAGATCCGGCCAGCCAATATCGGGAGCAGCTGAGAAGGGATGCGGTATGTCGAAGAGCTCGTCCGGAGCTCGGTAGGCGACAACATCGGAATCTATATAGACGATCTTGCGGAACTGGGTCTGCTTCCATAGTTCGATTTTGGTAAAGGCAGAGTGTAAGTCGGCTCGATTCATCAAATGCAGATTCGCGGGATTGGAATTGCGTATTCGGCTGACGGGTATGACATAGTCATACACGGCCTGGCCAATTGAATTAGTTGGGCAAACTATTTCGGTGCTAAACAAGCAGTAAGCTCACCTTGATCTCTGTTACAACCTCGGCCGACACGTTATCGAGAGTGACCAAGACGGCCAGCTTCTTGGAAGTGCCGGCATCGCGTAGAGAATGCGCAAGTACTAGGGCACCTTGAGAGAGGGGTTAGAAAAGCTCATCGCAGCATGGTAGAAGCCGTACAACGTACCAGGCAAGTATGTGTCGTTCAAAAGAAGCTATAGATGCGCGTCGGTTAGCTACTGATCTAAAGAACATGCATATATCTTGGTGTCTCGTCTAGGTCTAGGTCTCACGAACTGTGGCGTACACGTCCTCCTCCGCTCCGCCTTGCACAGCCATCGTGTGCAAGGAATGGCGATGAGATCACGCCAGACTGAATATAGCCAAGAGGGATGGAAGCAGACAAGAGATATACGAAGACTGCTACTGGAGCATGGATCGGAATGTAAACACAGCAAGCTTTCCACTTGCAGAACCGGTAGCGGCAGGGCCAAAAGCAAAAGGAAAAGACGAAGTAAAAAAGAAGTGTGTGTAGATGATAGCAAGGTTAGGTCTGTTCGCGCCGACGATGCGGGACGATTTCCTGGTTGGCTATGTAGAAGGGCCTGTTTTGTTTTTCTTCTCTAGACTTCCCCCAAGCCAAGGTGGAAAGAGAGTTCGTCAAAATGAGTTACGCATGGGAAAATGCGACATTAGCGTTACCTTAGACAAGGATTTCAAGGATACCCTTGGTGCGGCCTGGGGGGCTCTGGGGTTATTATGTGTCTCGAGCTTTTTATCAGGCACATGTTCCGGATGACTTAGTTGGGAGTTCAACAAATGGTTGGGATTGGCACGTATAATACATATGCGTGGGTAAGGGATAGGAATAACGGTATAGAAGCTATTCGCTCTCTACCTAGTCGACAGTCTGTACAAGACAGATGCAGGAGTTGAGATGCACGAGGGAGATAACGGCAACGCAACAAAAACATGCAAAACCATGCAGCAAATGTTTGGATGGGAGCGACCCCGGCCCCCGTGCACGGGGTACTCATAGATCCACAGCTCTACAGCTCCATAGCTCCATAGCTCCGTAGCTCCCAGGCTCTAACCCCCCCAGCCCCCCAGCCGCCCCAACTTTTGCCCACTTCGCGAATTATGTCATTTACTACTAAGATCGTTGCCTTGCAATCGTAAGAGCTTGACGGAGCGGGAGCCAAGACATTGGACAGTTTAAATGAGGGGGAACCCCTCTGCGCAGTTATGTCCCCAGTTAAATATCTAATGCATCTTCTAGAAATCTCGTATATGAGGCGATACGGGCTAATGGCATCTAATTTCAACACCTTCGCCTCTCCCTACCCATACATCAGGCCATTGCTATGATAGAAGACGGTCCCTACATATGTATTAGGCGCGCTACCTTGCACAGCAGATAAGCCCAAGCAGGGGTTAGCTACAGCTACATTACCATGGATGTAAGCCAATATTAAAAGTAAGCGACAGCCTCAAAAGGGATACCAAGGTCGTCCATTGTTGGGAGTTTTGAGACAACAAGGGCTTCCTGTCTTTGGTCTCTCACTTAAGTATGTACTTTGTATCTTTACCGTCGCATGTAAAATGACGACACATTTGTAGGTGAGCTCTTATTTGAACGGGACTATCCGATGGCGAATCAGACGACAACGTAGGGAACCCCGCAAAGTGATTTTCCCGGACCTGGCCAATTAGCATCGATAGACCCGCGTGGGCAAGTCCAGGTTAGGAAACAGCTCTTTTGTCTTTTCTTGCTCTGACGAAACTGGGGAAGCTTTATGTCTCTCGAGATCTTTTACCCCACGCAGCCCGCCTTTTGGAGATCTTCGCCTGGAGCAACACATGTCACTTACACGGTGTTACGATGCCAACTGCGCGTATCTCGAGTAGGGGTCAGATCGATAATTCAGCTGGCAAAGAGACCCTAAGACATAAGAAGCTGACAGTCCCAAAACTTAGGTAGGTAACTCATCCCACTAAGTCTCACATCTTTTCCATTCATTCGGGACTGTCCAGACCTTTGGATCTTCCCACTCCTCACCAGATCAGACTTAAGAAAACGTCATACCACGAACAGAGAACAAAGATAGCCCCTCACGTGGTGGTCACCCGCCCCTCTAGAACGACGATCATACAAACGGATCGACATTGCCGTGTCCGCAAGACACCGGTGGCAAGAAGTCCAATTCTTGTTCCATATTCATAGAACTGTGGATGTATAATCCCGAACCGAACACATGACACCTAAGGGCCAGAACGCCCCTCGTGGGAGATGCCACACTTCGTCCCCAAGCCTCCGCACTCCTTTCCCCAGATTCCCCAGATTCCCCAGATACACTGTTGAATTCATAGGGTCTGATTTGATAAGCCAATAACAAGACGAAATGATACTTTCACAATAGAACACAGCCAAGCAACTAAACCACGCCTAGATGTCTACGAGCACTTGATTCGTCTGCTGGATCACGTCTTGATGTGCCCTGATCTAAGCAGACTAGTAAGGGAAGAGAACTCTAGCTGTACGGAAAGGATACTTCATCCGTAGGCTTCCAAAGTTTGTCCCTGACATCCTCACCTTCCGAGAAGCAAATAAGAGCGTAGCGAGAAACATCACGTACACGCTGACATACAGAAATATAAATTCACTAAATCCCCGAAGAGATTGGCTGCCACACTATTTCATCCTTATTGTAGCCCTCGGGTTTGTGCCAACTCTTGCATCACTATCATTGTTTTCCGGTCGGTTGAAGACGAGTTGCATTACCAGATATTGGACGGTCTACTTCAGCTTGTAATAAATGCGGGAAAGCTACCAAAAAAAAATCTCTCGATCGGGGAATTGAACCCCGGCCACCTGCGAATTTGGTCGTTAGATGGGGACTACAGTCGGCCATTAATGACAAGCAGGTATCCTAACCACTAGACGAATCGAGACAGTGTCTGGATCGGTACCAGTGGAGCTATGATGGAAAAATTTCCGTCTTAGAACGGCACATCAAGATGACCCGATCGTGTGTCCGGGTGGGCCGGGGCGGAGACAACAGAAAATGACTTATATATACTGATGATCGGACGATAATGATCACACGCATTTTGTGCAATCAATGAACGAGCTTTGTTCGGGCTAGTTAAGGAGTTGATAGAGACGTTTAGAGAAGTTATAATTATCCAGTCCAAAGGGCCTGTTAGACTAGGTAGATGTATCATGATCGATTATTTAAATAAGATCTAGCTCAGTCGTTAATTAACACCTATAACTGCGATCGTGTATGATGCAGATACTAGAATCGAGGTAGAAGCTCACAAACTTCAGTTGATAGTCATTGGGTGAGGTATGTTTGCACCATTTAAATCCTAAAAACGAGTCGCCAGGTCTTATTGGAGTTATAGGTATTTATATACTGTCTAGATGACAGTTCGTAGGTTGAGGAATGGACTAACACATTAAGAACTGCGTGAATATCGTTTTTCGACGTCGGGAATGACTGTAGATGCCTGCACGCACCAATACCACGCTCTTCCTCAAACCGGGCATCACCGGTACCGCCGTCTTCCCCTTTTCCCTGACCTTTCCCCCTTTGTGCGCCTAGATGTATATGTCCCATGACACTCCACTCTTTGTCTAAAATACCGTAATCGACCACACGCTTGATTTGGTAAATATCCCAACACAACACTTAGTTTCCGCATCATCAACAACCAGGATTGAGCAATAGAAATCATAGGTCCTTCTTCGTGGAGTGTTCCGGTTTATGCTCCGTCTCCCAGTCGACGTGGACGAAGGCTCGCTCGACGTCGGGTAGCTTCTCTAACTCGTCCTGGAGACTTTGAGAAACGTCATGCGTAACTCTGAGGGTTTCGTCAGGGTCCATGACGATGTCAATCTCGGCGAGAAGCTTCGGTCCGGAGTGATACACTCGGACGGTGTCGATGCCCAGGATGGAGGGGTGGTACGTGAGGCAGATGTATGTGATCAACTGCTGCATCTCGATGGGAGCTGCTTTTCCGACCAGGAGCATGAACTGCCCATATGCGTCGTGCAGCCAGATTCCGACGATGACCAACGACAAGACAATGGCACCGGTAGGATCAATCCACCACGCAAGCTTGGAGCCGCCAACAGACGTCAGGATACCGAAGCCGTTGATGAGCAAGTCGTTGCGGTGGTCCTTCCATAAGATTTCCACCTGGCTGTACTTGTGCTTCAGATGCCAGCAGAAGAGGAATAAAGCAAACTTGGTTGCAAAAGCGACAGACACTGCAATTACCGACGGCAAGTGGAAGTCATTAACTACGGCACTTGAACCGAAACGGTTCGAGATGTCCTGGCACGAGAAGGCAATCAGGATAGCGCCCACGGTTATCATCATGAAGCAAAATGTGATATTGCCGACAGTTTCTAGACGCATCTTGCCGGACGGGAAGCGGTTAGGGTCTACCCGTTTCTTGGCTTGGTTAAGGAGCATCAGCTGTAGGTTACTGAGCGGGTCGAAAATCGAGTCGGCCATGGTAGTGAAGAGCGAAAGGGAGCCAGAGGATACAGCAGCGTATACCTGCAAGACGGACAGGGCGCAGTTGGCAGCAAAGGAGCCCCAGACGGCAATCTGGTACCGTAATTGGTCTTCGCCGAGCTCATACTCATGGTCGGCCCTGTGCTCCTCGACGGACTTGAGCAGGCGCTCGATCCTTTCGTTTTGTTTGTGGTAGAAGGTATGAACCTTCCGGGCCCGGAAGCTGGGGGCGAGCTTGGCGACGTTGATGCCGCCCTGGCTGGTACGCTTGCGAGCGGTATTAGCTTTGATCTCATCAAGCTGCTCAGCCGTCTTTAGGTGGGAAGATAGATTGTAAGGATCGCTGTCTCTGTAGCGCGCGTTTCCAGCTTGCGACTCGACATCCATCGCAACAGGCGGGTGGCGAGCCACAGGCTGCTCGTTGCCGTCACTCATAGCTTCTACACCAGTACTAGTAGCATTGTTGTGCGAGTCGCAGTCTGGGGAGTATGGGTATGGGGTTAGTGTATTTATCGAACCCCGAGGGCTGGGATTCAGCCCTTGCTGGCAACTGCATGCGTGCGACTGCGACACAGCAGGTGTGATATCAGAACCCATGACTGAGTGAATATCGTTCACTTATGACGGCAGTTCGACGTGAGCTCGGAGTCCGGACATAAGACCGAGCGTCTTAATAAATCCTATCTGTGCGGAATAGCTGAGGAAGTATATGTGCGTGGGATGGAATGCCGGGATACAAGATGCGGTGAACAAGGGAGTCAGCCTCTAGTCCTCAATGATCCCCGGCTGTCTGCGTAGTTTGTCTTCGTCTGGAGTCTTCCAAACCCTCAGCAAACCTATCTTACGCAGAGGTTAACTATCAAGGTAATCGACTATTTATTATCGTCTGGTTTAGCCAATATGTTACTGTAGAGGAAGTGCGAAGAGATGAGTACAGGAAAGGAAAAAACCGTAAGCTTCAACGGTGAAAATAGAGTAGCACAGATAGCTATAGCTATGAGCTACGACTTAGCTCATATGTACGTACATCCTAGCTTATTCATATTTGGATGATAGGTCAGTGAATAGGTACGTATGACAAAAGTCCCTTAGCTTTGTGGCAAAGGAGCTAATGGTTGGACGCGAGGCACACAAGACGGGATGCCCAGAAATGCTAACTGCGGCAATAGAACACGAGGACGAATTGGCCATTGTGATTGCACAGCTGACTAGTTGGGACTAGCGAGAAAAGTAATCATAGTCACTAATGCTGCTGTAAGATCTAAGACGGGCATCAATTTTGGATTGAAAGGACCATGACAAGGTTGTAATCCACGAGATGAGTTGGAATCTGGTACGTTGTGGAAAGATAAGAAAATGAAACGAAATATCTTTAAGAGCAGCTAGGAGACTTTAAATACCAGACCAGGGGCCTTGGTTGGAGCATCAAATGGTCCGGTCCCGGAAAATGCAACAGATCACGGGTTCTCTGCTTTTAACATCTGTAGCACAGAGGATATCCTATTCTTTCGGTTTTGTTTTAATGTCTCTAGCTCGTCCTTTGAGCAGAGTCCTCTACTTTCTCTATTCATCAAGTAATGTCTACAATCTAGGTAGGTACCTATGAATGCGTCGAGGTGAATATCGAGCCAAGATTTGTATAACCCATCAAACCAACAGCATCAAACTAGGCAACCCGTCCGATGATCGCATTGCCATGCGTAACAGTGTACTTCAGGGGGTATCAAATCTCATATTCCGTGTATGAATAACCCAGGTATCTCAAGCGTCTGCGCGTCTAAGGGGATGTGCTTCCGTATTCAACACCCATTTGTCGAGACTAGCCAGCTCCCAATCCCCGAAGATCAAATAGAAATACTTCAACGTCTCCGCTAGCCAAAAACTCTCCATGCTGTCTACCTGCGTTGGTCGTTCAAGTGTCACGTCGTCCAGCGCCGCCGACGCATATTTCGATCGCGTCCATTTCTCGACCGCCTCGAACATAGTCCAAGCTTGATCCATAAACTTGGTGTTCCCCGTCAAGCGCCACATGTAAAACACGGATTCGATAGCCTCAGGCCGGAGGATGTAACGACGATCGTCGACCTCGACCATACCAGGAGGTAGTCGTCTTGTATCTATGATATGCTGGACATGCTCATCGGACATCTCATCACCCTTGGTATTCTGGCCCCAATATTTCCTAAGAGCACCGGACCAACGCTCCTCGCTCCATTGGCAATCATCCTTCGCCGCATCAGGGTCGCAGGGGATAAAATGGAAGATCTCGGGCCCGACCCCCGAAACGGTAGCGTTATATGACCATACACAGCCGTCGGTGAGCTGTTCGGCCACGTCCAAATCCGATGGGCGATCGAATATCTTGGCTGCCATGCCTACCATACCTCCCGCAAAGCAAGTCAAATGCTGCGCTATCGGTGTGGTCACAACCTTCTTCTCGCCACTGGGAGAATTGACAATGCGCGCGTCGCCAAAGAAGAGCAACGGAATATTCTCTGGATTCAGGGCGCGGCGAAGGAGATGCTTTTTCGCTACCTCGATGAAGCCTTCGTACATCTTGCGTGGCTGATCAAGCGCGCCTCCAAGCAAGAGATACTGCTTCCCAAGATATTCGTAGGTGCTATCACTCATCCCACCGAGTGTAAACCCGTCTCCGGTTGACTTGATAGGCGATTTCGAGGAGTCGATTATCACGGGCCACATTCCTGGCAGAACGGTAGTTTTCTGGTCCCTTTCTAGACCGTCCAATATTCTTTGCGCAGCATCGTAGTACTGCATGTCATTGGTTAGCTGAGACAGCTTAGTGAGCTCAAGGCCTAGCGATCCAATCTCAGCAAGCAAAACATGGCTCCGGGCTTTCTGCGGCTGGCCTTTCACATATTCTTTCCAGGGGAATCGCGTTATAGGCATGCGATTGGGAGTATCGAAGGACGACATCACCAAATCGGCAACTTCGGTCGCCTTGCTAAGGAGACTTGGATATTGCTTCTCACTGAGCTCGTACGCGGCCAAGAAACCACCAAGATATCGGATTGTCGTTTCGAAAATGTTGATATCGCGTGCCTCCGTAGTCGAAAAGTCGATATCGTTACACGCCTTCACCGCAAGCTCGAAATCGTCCTTCATACCAAGGAGCCACAAGCTGTCGAGAGAATCGACGAGCGTAGCTGCCCAGCCGCCAAACGGATCTTTGTGTTTTCCTGTAACCGGCTTGATCTCGTCATGGCCCCAAGCGTACTTCTTGTACCCATTCCAGCTGTGCTTGAAGCTGTCCTCGACAGCGGCAAGGCGTTTCAACCGTAGCCCCTTTTCAGCAGCATTCTCCTGCGGCCTCGCTGCCTGTATCCGCGGTACCGGCTTCGTAGGTTTGTTGGTCGGGAGGGCAGCGAGTTTGTCTACGGGATTTTGAGGCGGTCGCTTTTC